GAGGATAGGCACCTAATGCCTGAGCAAGAACCAGCGACCGTTGCCTGGTGCTGGGCATATACTCTTGATTCAAACTGTGCCACAACCTGAAGCGGTCTTTATTCTTTGCCGCTGCACGAACCATATGAGCACGCTTCCCTCGAAGATATGAGGTGAGGACTGCAAACAGCTTCTGACTCATCTGTCTTTCATCAGCATTGTAGGAGGAGAGAGGAGGAACTTCAGATTTCGCCTCCAAATGATCAAGGTCTTCTGAATATCTGCCATCACCGAAACACAACCAACTAGTGAATTGATGTTTCCACTGTTTAAATAACATCGCATCTTCTCCTGAAAACATTTCGGGTGCCTTCAGAATTCTGGAGCTGCTGAAAGACCCTCATTGGGACACCCACCTGAAGAAGATCGCTCAAGAGCTCGCTCAGCAGCAGCGGCTGCTGCACGAGTTGCAGCCTCTGCCATAGAGGTCATACGTTGCAAAAAAACTTCTTGAAGTCCAGGCTGCTCGTCCATCGCCTTTGCATTGGCCAATCCACATAGGAACACTGCTGCCATCAACTGTCTTTGAAGTCTCACTGCTGATCTTCTCTTCCTTCTCCAACGCACTCTGCTTTGCGTACTGTTGCCATAGCTCAAATGGCTCATTTGTAGCTGAAGAAACCACGCACTGCACACAAATGCAGTCACCGTCGTTGAAATCACCATCACCTGCACTCCTGCACATCTTGCCAAGAAGCGCAGAGCATTGTAAATCCAACTGAGCATCATTGCCACCAGCTCACAAACAGATGTACATGCTGTCATCCCATAGATTGATACCTCCTTGAACTTGTTCATGACGTGTGCAGAGTGAAAGCTGTCGTTCAATCCACATGTCTCCATGTCACATTCAGTTGTCAGAGGAAATGAATGCAAATTGCTTCCATGTAAACTCCTAACATCATTGGCCAAGTCAATTTCATTGCAAACTCCATGGGGGTGTGGACCACGCTGAAGTTGCACTTCACTGTGTTGCATTGAAATTTCCAATAACGCACAAACCATGCCATGAAATTTCCAACAATTGCTCTGTGGCTCACACTGTTGAAATTGCCAGCATTGCACTGAAAATTGCAAACACGCACAAATGACAAGGAAAACATCTCTCGCCGAAAAAAAAATGTTGCCACACTGTTGAGAATGCCAGAATGGTAATGAAAATGGTTTTGCAGATTCAAACAGCTCATGCTTGGGTGGAAAACTGTCTCTAACGAATTTCCACGCTGAGTCACTTTGAATTGCCAGTCTCGTCTCATCTCACCATGCAGCATGTCTTCCATGAAACTGTCGTTGCATTCACCGGCCAAACATTCGAAAACGTGTTTGGGCATATGCAACATGCGATTGGGCTCTCGGCATGCATCCGGGTGGTGGGCTACACTGCGTCTCATATCTCTTTCATCTACATTCCATGGTAACATGCAAAGACTGTGCAAAGCCAATCCAGCAATACCATCATGCTCATCTGACATTGCATTCAGTGAGCATGTATCCAAATAATTCATTGAAGTGCACATTCTGGATTTCGAATTTCTGAACGACCGGCCTTCTATATCATCCAAACCACCATCCACCATCACGGTGAGAAAGGCTAACACCATCACCAGTCGCCTTGCCACCACGCAGAAACCATAACCACCGGCAGCCGCCACCTAAACACCAGGCTCCCGCTGCCATCTCAAAACTCACGGCGCTACTCAAAGCGCCTTTTTCACCACGCCTGCTTTCGAGCCACTGTGCGGTAAATGTACGCTTCTCGATTCTGTGCGTGTCATCAGGGCATCTGAGCAACTGGCCATGCTAATCTTCTCAGTGTCGTTCCAAGTGCCAACTGAAGACCGGTTTCTACCTGCAAACCTATACGTGAGTGCACTAGATAAATTGTGACAGTTTTCCAATGCGTCATCTCCGAGCTTATCTCCCACTTTGTACTTGGCTTTGTGCCCTAACTTGTTTTTCCCACTTTGTTTCCGGCTTTGTCCCTCACTTTGGTTCCCGCTTTGTGATCAGTTTGCTGCTCATTTCCCACGCGATAGTTTCTTAATGTGTTTCCGATTCACCTCCACTCTCACCTTCACTCTCACTCGCACTTGCGCTCGCGTTCGGACTCTCATTCTCAGTGTCTTTCTTGTTGTCACTCTCATGGTTACTTTCATTGTCACTCTCACCGTCACTCTCCTTGCAACTCTCCTTGCAACTCTCCTTGTTCCTTCTCTTGTCACCCTCCTTGTCAGTGTCATTGTCGCTCTCATTGTCTCTGTCTCTCTCTCTCTCTTTTTTTTCTCTGTGTGAAAATGTGTCTCAAACTGTGTCTCCGACTTTGTCTCCCAGCCGGCTCCTGCTTTGTTTCCTACTCTGTTTCCCACTTTGTCTCCAACTTTGTCTTCCCCCACTTTGTCCCTCACTTTGCCTCCCAGCTTGTGTCCCAATTTGTCTCCCGCCTCGTCTTCCACTTTGTCGCCCAGCTTGTGTATCAGTTTGTCTCCCACTTGTTTCCCGCTTTGTCCTTCACTTTGTCTCAAATTTTGTTTCCCAGTTTGTTTCTCGGTTTGTGTCCCAACTTTTCCCCCGTTTTGTCTTGCACTTTGTCCCCCACCTTGTCTCCAACTTTCTCTCCCAGCTTGTGGGCCGCTTTGTTTCTGGCACAGTGTCTCCTATTTTGTGGCCCGCTTTGACCCTCATTTGTTTCACACTTTGTCTGCAACTGTTGCGCCTTTTGTTTCCACCTATGTCTGCTATTTTCTTTGTCTCCCACTGTCTCTCCGACTTCGGCCCCCTTTTGTCTCCCCAGCTTGTGTCCCACTTTTTTCCCCACTTTCTTTCCCTTTTGTTTGCCAGTTTGTTTGTCTCCTGCTTTGTCTCCTGCTGTGCATCCCCCTTGGTCCCCCGCTTTCTCTCCCACTTGTTTCCCCACTTTGTCTCCCACTTTGTTTCCCACTTTGTCTCCCACTCGGGCCCCGGCTTCGTATCCGACTTTCTCACCCCATTGTCTCCCACTTTCTCCCCTCATTGTCTCCCAGCTTGTCACCCACTTTGTCTTCACTTTGTCTCCGCTTTGTCTCCCGTCTTGTCCCGCGTTTTGTCCCCCGCTTGTTTTCAACTTTGTCCCCCGCTGTGTTTCCCAGTGCCTTTGCTTCCCTCTGTGTCTCCCCGTGCGTTTCCGATTTTGTCCCCCACCTTGTCGCCCAGCTTGATTGTGTCCCGCTTTCCCTCCCTTTCTTTCCCACTTTGTCTCAAACTTCTTTGTCCCGCTTTGTCCCCTCCTTTTGTCTTCCATTTTGTCGCCCGCTTTGTCTGTCATGTTGTTGCCACGCTGATAGGCACAACGCAGTGTGACATCGTTTTGGTCTCGTATAAGACGTCGTATCGGACCTTGTGTAAACGCACCCCTTCCTTCCTACCAACAAAAACTACGCTTGAGAAAGGGTGGTCTTGAGAAATTGAGTTTACTGGGGGTTGAACTTTTCACACTTCTCCCTGGTCATAGTCATGATCTGGGATTGTTCTGGATACGGAGTTCAGTAAGGAGGCATCAAGACGTTGAATTTCTGACAGCTCTCCACCTCTTCGGCTGGACGCGGAGGTCAATGGGGATTTGCAAAGTGGGATTTGCAAAGTGGGATTTGCTCTTTGATATGGAATTGTTCTATCCAGTCATGACTTGTGAATCCGGAGTGCCAATATGCATTGACAAAAATCCATGCACACTGAGATTCGGGCAAGAGTGAGCTTGAGAAACGGAATTCCATCACAGCTCTCCCTAGCTAAGATCTAACATTGTTCTAGGTACGGAGTTCCGTGGGAAGGGATCAAAACCTTGAATGACCGACGGCTGTCCAGCTCTTTAACTGGACACGGCGTTCATGGGGATCTGCAAAGTTGGATTTGTTCTTTGATCCAAACATGACTTGTTAATTCGGAACCCCTTCGTGAATTATCAAAAAAAAGGTGCACACGAGATGCTGGCAAGGGTGAGCTTGAGAAGCGGAGTTCCATGGGGATTAGTCGAAACTGTGAACTTGTTACCCGTATCCCTAGGTATGATCCAGGATTGTTCTACACGGGGTTCCATGGGAAACGATTTAAAATCGTCGATTGTTTTTGTTGCAGTGGGGGCTGGGGCTGCAGCATGCCGACGCAGATTTCAAACCACCGCTTTTTATTCCACCGCGTCTACATGACGTGTGAAAGCGGAACAAGCAACGCTGGATCTTTTACGCCAACTGGCGGCATGTCCTTGTCAGACCAACACGATGACATGCAAACGCCACACTAGCCGAAAACCGCCATCACCAAATAATTCTCCCGTTGAATGAACAGCCGTCGGAAACTCCGATTGACATGCCTCATGGGTTATCGCGATGCCATTGTTCGGCAGTAATATTTTATTTTATAAAACTATATCACCTTGGTGGTCTTTTCACTGGATTTAGAAGTATAGTCGGTATAGTGTGTTGTGTTTTTTTTTTTGAGTGTGGTCTGGATCATCTAGATTTGCGCAGATGGCTTACGCTCTGTGGAGACAGCAGATTTCATCAATGGAAAATGGTCTCCGTCAACGAGTGTTGAAAGCAAGGAACACATAGTGCAGCCGGCTGCTTGGTGCAATGCACGTGTTCAAATTGCATCGGGAACATTGTGTTTCCTTATTTCTTATCAAAATGCTTGACGGTATGATAATAACCATCGTGGGTTCAAAAATGAACATTTAGAGTACTGGTTCAAAAACGTGGATAAGCGAGGCAACGCTCGTAATGTGAAGAACAACGCCAGTGGATGGCACGTTTGTCATTCTGCAATGACGCGATTTGGGTAGCTTTTGTCAGCTCAAAGCAAACGATCATGCTACTGTTCCACAGTTCAGTGGTCCAATGCAAACACATCTCGTGCAAGCGACGCCAGTTTGGAATGCAATAAAAATTATAGTCACTTCCAGACGTGCAACAGGTCCACATGATTTAGTGTGGGCCGCGCATGGGCAGCAAAGCGGCTGCAACGTCCGTACTTCAGAGGAGTCTTGGTTGACTTTGAAAATTGAACCAAATCAAAATCGCATCAAACGGGGACTTTTGAATAAATATGGCCAACATTGATTGGGATTAAACATTGATTTAGCATCAAAATCGGGAACACTATATACCATCAATGATAGATTAGACATGAACCGTTTTCATGGATAAGAACATCCAGTGTAAACCATGTTGTCAATGGGAAAGAACATATGTGTGGCAGAAATGCGGATGACAAACCAGTTTATGGGAACAGTAATCCCGTAATCCACACCCAAAACAATCAAATTTTTGCCGATGAATTCGATCCAAATCAGTTATTGTACTATCAGCGCAAAAACACCCAAAAAAATAATGCCATAGAGTGATTCTATCATTTTGTGGACTTCATGGCACACGAAGTGCGTTCAGAAACAGTGACAAAACCTGCGCCAAACTTAGGTTGGGAACCTTGCAGGTGTGCAATGCTTCCGCTACATGTGGAGCCACTGCCTCAATTTCGCTGTGATGTTCAGCGCATAGGGGGTTTTCCATAAACGCGGATGTTCCAAAATGAATGGATTAGCATGGAAAATCCTAGAAACATGGATGATTTAAGGGTAGCCACATTTTAGGAAGCCTTTATGTTTCACCTGTTGTGCTGTGTGGAAGCGGTTCCTGTGAGCAAATCTTCACATGTTTGGCATGTTTTGTTGAGGAATGAACGCCCATCTTTCATGCACTCCCCTTCGCTCTCGGAGTATCTGCGGCGGATGTTGCATTACGCCCCTCCACCTTACCTGGGCAGGGGTCAATTTCTGTCTTGAAATTGGGTTTCCCACGGTGTATGATCATCATTTTCATTAAACATTTTTGGGTTATAAAGAAATGGTGGTACCCTCTGGTAATTTAACATAGCTATTGAAAATTGCCATTTATAGTGAGTTTTCCCATTAAAAATGGTGGATCTTTCCATAGTTACGTAAACGTTTACCAGAGGGTAAGCCAACTGAACCAACTTTTTGGACTGGTGTGGTTGATTCTTTAAGGTCATACTGAGGGGGTACCAGTTGAGTGGCAAACTATCACTACCGGGTCGCCCCCGTTTGAATCAACCACGGTTGACATTTCCCGCACGGGCTGCCGCTATTCTAACATGTTGCAACGTGTTGATCATATGGGGGTTTCTTAACAAAAATGGTTTCATTTAAGATGATTTTGGGGTACCTCTCATTTATTTAGATATCATTGATATCATGGTTTTGGGGTACCCCCATTTTAGATCATTTTAGGAAGCCTCCATATTCCAACATTTTTGTAATTTTGAATCTTGAAACCGTCGATTTTGAACCTGGGAACCGTTGCGCACCCAAGGCGCAGATGGACATAGACTATACGTTCGCACAGATGTTGTACTTGTGCATAGCCCCCAGGAGTGCCGGACCACGAATGTGGCATGGGGTATTTTGGAACATCTGTTTCGAGTATTTGTTGGAGCTCATGATCCCCAATACTTGGGTGATTGACAAAATAGGTGATTTACCAACCTCCTTTTTTTTGCGGGCAGGGTGTTGTTGTTTTTGCTTCCGAAGATATCCGATCTGCATAGCTTGGAGCGTCAGGAAAGTGTACCAGCTCACTTCCTACAGGAAGCAAACCAAGAATCAATGGGACTGGAACTCGGAAATTCTGTCAGCGAAAACCCGTGACGCCAGGTTTTTGGTATTGTCGTTAAATAGGCAGCCGTTGATGAGACGATCGAAAAAGAGGACTATTGAACGTAATTATATACTGTATCACTATATGTATGCATCGTGTTTGGCAGGCACTGGGTGTGCATTATCATTAGGGTGAGTATGTAAGCTGATGAATCCATTTTGGCTCAAGTCTGAGCCAAACTGGCTTCATCGTTCTTTCTTTGGTTGGGGTACCCACACCACTTCTAGGGAGTTACCCTAGGTTCAGTGGTTTCTCGTTCCTCTACTAGGGCGTTACCCTAGCGTACAGAGGTTACGAAGGTGGGAGGTCACCCCCTCGATGCCAAGGGCCTCCATCGTCGTTCGGCCCGGTTGGAATGAGGCGGCCCACACGGATGTGGAGCTGCTTCATGCGGCTGCCTATTACGAGTTCAAGACGCACGTGGAGAGCCTACTCCAGCGGGGCTTGGTGGCAGAGGCCACCCGACTGTGGGCGTCCGTGTGCCAAATTGATCATTTCCCCCCACATCCAATTGGGTTGGGGGTGCAGGGACTTCCCCCTTTCAGACGGTCACCTTGTATGGAAGAAAACTGTAGGAGGTGTACTGAGTATCAGGGAGGATTCAAGTTCCCTTGGATCGGCACATGGAACAGCTCAGCTATCTTGGCTCTGCCCGGGAGTGACCCGCGGCGTGCGTGGCAATCCTACTATGATCGCCTGGGCGAGGCGAAGCTGGATTTGCTACTCATCGAGCCGCTGCGGACTCATTGGACGGCTCGGGACTTTGCGCCGGACAACATCTTTGGCTTGGTCGCCTTCATCGAGCACAATGCCGATAGCATGGTCGACCTCACCGAACTTTGGGATGTGTGGAGGACCTGGCAATCCCCACAGCGTGGATGGAGGGACCCATCCTTGGTGCCCATCCCGGCTGACCTGGTTGCGTGGAGAGCACCACGGGCCAGAGCAGTCCGGTCGTTATGGGGTTGGCTTGGTGCCATGGAGGCTGGGGAGGAACCCTTGCCACCTTGCAAGGCTTGTGGACTGCCGACACCTGAGCTCTGTGAGCGATGCTTCTCCTCCGTGTGCAGCACCTGTCCACCCTCCCAGTGTCCAGGATGTCACCCCGTCTTGCGTCGAGACCCATATGCAGCAGCTGCGGCCTAGTGATGTTTGTTTGTCACCTGATGATACTGAGGTTTGGTCTGCAGTTTCAGGCCCAGCCCGTACGCTCCAAACCTTGGCAGCGGTGGTGTCAGGCGTCGCCATGGCGTACCACCCAGGTGCCTACGCGGTGCAGGCTGCTGGTGAGGCTCCACCTTGTGCAGAGACGGCGATGGAGAGGGTGGCATCCACTCGTGTTGAACAGTGGCGAGCTCAATGGGGACTACATGATGAGACTGACTTCGCATATGCGTTTGCATCCTATGACAGCGCAGTTGCACATGGAGGACACCATGTGGCAGATGCGTGGTTGCAAGCGCGATCCAAGACTGCCGAAGCTGACCTCATCCCTCAAGCGGCTGCCGTGGCTGAGAGCTCGGGTTCCAGAGATCGGCCAACGACATGGCCTGCGCCCAAGGCGTCCATGATGAAGAAGAGCAAGATGGTCCAAGCTCTTCGAGTCCGGCCAGGCCCAGATCAACCGGAGACGGTGCTGCTACGAGCTGCGGCATTGAGGAAGGCCTTCTCTCAGGCCAAGGTCATGCGTCCTCAAGGGGAGTTGACCCCGCAGAGGTACGCTCAGTGGCAGGATGCTCTGGATACTTTGTCTAAGCGGAAGGTCACAGAGGCCGAAGGAGCGACGGTGGTGAACGCCCTGAAGTCTTGGGCTGAGTTGCGGGCCTACATGGAGCAGAAGGACCGCTTGTTCCCACCGGATGCATTGGACCTCTATGGCTTCTTGCAGAATGGCACGTCGGGGCCTTACCGAGCCTTTCACTCCTTGAAGTGGTTCTCCAAACATGGTCGGTTGCAATGGGACTTCAGTGATGTACCAGTCCCAGCTCGTAAGAATCCACCCAAGCAGGCAAACCCAGAACAGGCTGTTGCAGTTGAGCCCCCAATGATTGCAGCGCTTGAAGAGAAGATTCAATCGTTGTACGAAGCAGGGGACCCGCGTTGGAGCGTTGGAGGGGCTTACTGTCCAGCTGGCTGGTTACCTTTGGTGTCCTGCGATACCAGCACATCATGCGTGCCAGGCCAGTCAAAGTGACCCCTAGCTCCTTTCATGGCTACTGCACGAAGGGGAAGCAGAAGGCCAATAGGGGCGGGTTCTCCTTCAGCATTCCGGCCACATTCGTCAACGGATGGGCTTGGGGCTCGGCCCTATTCAGGGACTACAGCAGTCTGGATAAGGCTAAGCAAGCAACCTCAGGGTTGTGCTTTGATGCGGAGGGCACCGCATACACATTGAAGTTCGTCAACGAGCTCAATCGTGAGGTCTTTGAGCACTTGGTCCAGAATACAGAGGATTTGTCTTCCTACTCCTGGCGGCGAGCAGCACCTACAGTGGGCACTCTGATGAAGCTGACGCCTCTCGAGCTATGCTCATTGGGGGACTGGGCAGATCGTTCCCAGATCCCAAAGGAGGCGACAATGCCTATGCACTACAGTGCAGCTAGGTACGAGTCTTCATTGAGGACCAAACACATTGTGCGGCTGGCTATGGAGAAGCTGCTTGCCCATGAGTCATGGGAGACCATCCCAACGGAGACCTATGCTGAGGCCCTGGAGTATGCGCGCCAGAACGTAGACAAGGTGCTGAAGCAGGAATCCAGGGTCATTTGGGCTGCTCCTTTGACGAAGGCTGAGATGCAGGCGCGCTTCCAGCTGTCGGAGGCGCTCAAGCTCAAGGCCGCGGCCAAACGAGAAGAGGCACAATCCAAGGGTGGCCTGTCTGCGATGCCGGCATCTCTCAATGGGAAGGTGCTGAGCGCATTCATGAAGAATGGGGCACCCATTTGTGGAGCTTTTCAGACAAGGTCTTGCCCCCTGGAGAAGGAAGTGTGCCCTGGTCGCCATGCATGCGCCATTCTGCGCAAAGCTGGACGAGTTTGCGGTGGAGGCCATCCGGCATGTGAATGCCACGACAAGAAGTTCATCAAGGTGGAGGAGATGACTGGCGAAGGGCCTGGTTCGGGATCTGCTAAGGCCAAGCCTACTAGCAAATCCACGGAGGAGCGACCTCCGGAGCCAGCTGCCCCTCCTAAGGCGTCAGTGAGGCGCCCACGGTCCCCACAAGGGCCGCCGTCTAAGGCACCGCCAGCGAAGAAGGCCAAAGCAGCCCCAGCTCCACCTCCTGCGCCATTACCAGCCCTGGTGACCAGTTCGGAAGAAGAAGAAGTCGAAGTTGAGGAGGAGGACCTTCCGATTCCAGAGGCACTGGATACTCGAGGGCCCGACCAGAAGTTCGACAGGTTGGCGACGATCCACGGCAAGACAGCGGAGAGCCCGAGCCTTATTTATCAGAATAGGGCAGGGGGCAAGCTGTGGCTGAGTGGAATTCCAACCAGGAACACGGCAAACCGCTTTCCAAAGGGAGTTACCCTTCAGATTGCGTGCATGGCCGAAGCCCCATCATCCAGAGGAGGAGTGGTGCTCACAGATGCCCTATTGAAACACCTGTGTGTGGCCCATGGTGGTTCGAGGAACAGGGACTTTGAAGAAGTCTGGCCTTTGCTGCGCAATACGATGTATGCAGGCGAGTCGGCCTTGATCCATTGCCTATCAGGGCGCCACCGAGCAGGTGTTGGGGGCTGTGTGTTCCGTGCGCTGCTAGCCCAGGAGAGCTGGGATGTTGCAGTGGCCTACGTGAAGAGCTGCAGGCGCTCGTTGGACATTCCGGGGATCATCAATGAAACGGGTATGAGGTCGTGGGTGGACACGACTCTCAGGACCAGCTCCCTCAGGAACCCGTTCCCAGAGCCCTGCGGCTACATTGCGACACTGCGTTCAAAGGTTCATCTGGAGCTCAACAACGGCCAGACCCTCTGCTCCCACAAGCAATCTGCTGAGCGTGCAATCCGCTTGGTGAAGCCAATGACGACGCAGGACATGAGGGAGGCCATGGCTTGGGGCCGCGCTTTTTGTGACGGTTGTTTGGTGCGAGCAGCAGCGAGCTGGCATCCACGCTGACCTTGTCAGGAGTGGCGCACCAGAATTCATTTGAATAAGAGACGCACAGGGCCGATTTTGGTAAGCTGATCAATGCGGTCCATAGCTTGCCCGTAGGCTAACATGCATTTGAACCATTTGAGAGCTTGACTTCTGCGTGGAAAAAGGCCCTCTCAACATCCGGGAGGATGAAGTCATGATAGGCTGTGACAACTAGTCTTACCGGCATGTCATGAGGTAGCTTACACAGGTATCTGTGAGGACAAGCTACATGATGTGTGCCGGGGATAGAGACTAGGATACAGTCTGTCGTACCCCTGAGGAACAGGGGAGTTCTTGTCTTACCCCCCCCGTCACCTCCTTCTGTCCCTGGATGGCAGGTGATGTGCAGCATGCGGGAGGCATGTTTGGGGGTGAGCAGCTTTGAATGTTCAAGTCATACAAGGAGTTACCTTGAGAAAATGACTAGTGTTCGATTGGTTCCGGTGGAGAGTACCACCATTCAGGAAACCATGGAGTCTTTAGGGCTGAATTTTTCGTTGGACCCCGTTGTGACCAAGGCGTTGTTGGCCACCAAGATTCAGAACTTGGAGGAGTTTCGGTTCCTCTTTGAGGATGAGTCGAAAGTCGACACGTTCTTGGCCAAGTTGCAACTCGGTGATGATAGGTTGATTCAAGGCTCTAGGTTGCGCAGAGCTTGGACTGCCGTGACTCTGTACTACAAGAACCAGGACCAGGACAGGTCCAAGATCAGTGTCAGCGATCTTGATACCATGTTGGCTGACACAGAGTTGCGTGATGTCAAATCCAACTTCTGGGTTCGGTATCGGATGAGATTCCCACCAGAGATCCATCCA